CCTTTTTGGGATGCGGCACGCATTCTACTTCCATTTGTACATTCGTAGTGGCGTTTGAATGCGATGTGGCCTATACAATGACTTGCGGGGGCCAGCCGATGTACAAGTCAGTGTTTTTATCCTCCCAGACAAGTCTGGTACCAATTAACCGACCCCGGAGGGATGGAAGGCTTGGTTGGCCCGGGCGACTCACGACCCAGGATTTGATCCCCGGACCGCTCGCGTGGTAAGCGTGCCACTTGTCACTACACCACTTCCGCCCATGTTATATAGTACTGAAAATAGAATCCGTTTGTGATTGAATGGTATAGCTTTGTTGGACTGCACACGAGTTCGCCTTCTTCGGAGCCTAAAAGGATGGAAGTCGAGTTTATGAGTATCCGACCAAAAATCTCCACACCTACTAGATCTTCGACACCACCTAATCATCACGTAATCACAAGGGAGAAACACCGTACCTTTACCAGATCCACTGGACCAGCCAACGACAAGCACAGTACAGTAAGACTTCGGGTGGACCGTATTCAGGGTACCGGTTGGAAAGCCAGGCTTATATATGGGGCTAACTCCCGCGTAATTGACAGGCATTCTTCCCTCCGGTTATTGAATTCGTGAATTCGTTCAGGTCAGTCTGAAAGCACTAAGAGTTATACATCGACGTGACCCTTGTTCTGCCTGGGAGTTCAAATATTCTTGCAGGCGAGACCAAAGTCAAGTTCAAATAGCGATCACTGCATCATACTGTATCGTGACACGCCGTGGAATTAGCATTTTTTCATAGCATTGGCCGGCACAGGGTTACTAGGCGCATGCAAATTTCGGTCCTGCACGGCTGAGAAGGAGGATTTAAAGCAAAGCCGCAGGGTTAGCGGACTGTTCATTTTGTTGAAAAAAAAATACGATAACAAACGCTTCGATTCGGGGTCGGCCATTTTTTACAGAGTTATTTTTAACAGAAGATGGTAGCTGCCACTTTTATGAATCCCTTATACTGGTCTAACCAAAAAGAGCTCAGGAAGGAACGTAAATGAATCAATTTTTCCGGGACATCTTTACTGGTGATAATCATATTGACGCCAGCATGACGCGCATGCGCGTCAATTTTCGCACGAACTAGGGTCGTTTTGTTCGATTAATTTGGCATTTCTCATTTTTTGTTTGCACGAAATACACTGCGTTTCATAAATATAGGTCCACCCTAAATTTTTGCTATTCCAAAGTTGCTGTGCATTTTTGGGAAATGCCGCTATTACCAATAGTTTCCCCATAACGAAAAACCTTGATACTTGATTTCTGGAGAAATCTCGATTCAGAATTATTAAAATATCTTCCTTTAGAACGTATTTTCACCGTTTCGCAAATATGACTACACATCACTTGTCGAGAGATTTTACTATAACGAAAAAACGTCACGAATTTTCAATAATGGGATGACCCCCCAATAATCATAAGGAACACAATAATACGTTTTGGAAATGCTGGTAGCCAAATTAGCTATTACAGTAGGATCGAAATTTGTCTGGCGCCGATGATCGACGTTTTCAGCTCTTTCGGCTGTTCCATTTTGCTTTACTTTGCTGTGGAACTTTATAACAATTAAGGCCCAATGATTCTCTATTGGAATCTGATTCAGATAACATGGTGGCCACCAGATAACTGCCACATTTTTTCCTGCAATTCCATCTGGCGCGGAAGGACCGGCATGGACAGCCGCCCCCACCCCCCGGCCGCGTTATCGTGCGTAAAAATCAAGGTTCGAGGGGGCTGTGTTCGAAAAATGGTAAAAATCGCTTCAAAAGAACTTCACGATACCCTATGGAATCCTTGTGAAAGGAAACAAATATGAGCTCTAGCCGCTCAGTCGTTCAAAGGTGCCTCAAACCATAAGGGATTCTCCGCCAAAATTACCTTACTTCAAAACCATCTGCGATTTTCACGGAACCCTCCTGTACCCTCTTTTTCTATCAGATCCACCTAGAACAAACTTTTTCACGTCGATCCAAGATCACCTGTAGCATGAAACAAGGAGGAAGAGTTCAAGATCGCGAAGGGTCTTGACAGCCACACCTTCATTGCCCTTTTCCACGGAGAAATGGAGACGTGCGATCTTGTAGCGCTCAAATAATCTTGGAACGCTCTTCATCAATCCGCTGAAGATGTTATTGCTCTGCTGGCTTACTCACCACACGGTGGTTTTGCTCACGGAAGGCCGCATTTCAGCACGGACTTTGTTCGGACTCCTTGTACAATTCGAGAGAAGACGCCCAATTCCTCCTAAATTTTGAAGGAAACGCAGTCTTTATTTACCTAAGCGACTCTTCTCTCCGCACTGACCAGGATTTTGCACATAGTCGCTTATGCAGTATGAGCCGGCCGACATGGGAGGAAATTCTGCTCCTCAGCTATCCCACTTCAGTAAGTGCTCTGGCTTGAGCTTGTTACTGGGAAGAGAGGCGAGTAACACGAGGTATGGTAAACTCGATGTCGACTGAGCTCACATATATCCCCGCTTCCCTGATTCCCTTCACGGATCATGAGAAATGGAAACTTTTTATGAGTGGCCCGATATTCATGAAACGGTGAAAATTCGTTCTGAAAAAGTTAATTGGGTTACTTGAGGGGGAACTTTGTCAGAAAAACACTATGAAGGTTTTCCGTGATGAGGAATCTAATGGTGATAGCAGCATTTTCAAAAAATGCACAGCAACTTTGGGGTAGCAAAAATTTAGGGTGGACCTATAATTATGAAACGCAGTGTAGGGTCGTGTTGTTTGACGTAACCTTTTTGGATTTTCATTGTTTCAAAACGTTCTGGACGTAGTACTATCTTATTCGGAAATCAGTTGCACTAGTGAGGCCAATTGTTGGAGAAATAGCAATTATTTTAAAAGTAGTAAATAAAAAGTTGCCGGAAGTGAGCTCGCAACGGGCTGTCGTCAATGTGATAACTACTAATTTGGTCCTTGACTCTCATTCTGTTCATTTGTCTCGAATAAGGACCCACAGCGAGGACCACTATGAAGCCTACTCGTGCCACAGTAAAGGAAATCGTCAACAGAAATTTATGCGATTAGCTCACTTCCACGCCTTCTCCTTCCACTTTTCAAAACCCACCCGAAAAACCTAAAGCAACCAACAGTCCACACTTCCTTTCAGATTGTCGATAGCGATGGCGCGCGAGTTGATCAATACGAAAAGAGAAAACCGTCGACCACCGGCTATTCTGTCAAGTGGAAATCGTCTAACTCTGTACTTCAAGGCTCACGATTTTACGCAAACGGTAAGTTTTTTTTTACTGTAAAGGGTTCATTCACCCAACGTAGAAGCGCTAAGCTGATTTTGTATTGATAGCATTTAAAAGTGTCTAGAAATTATTCACACTTGGGAAGACGGAGCCAAAAAGGCGCCCTGGGTTTGTATCAGCTTGCGTCTCGCGCAATGGTGGGAGTGAATGGATACCATGAAGACTCACGCTGGAACCAACGACGCGATTCTTCGTTTCTCAGGTAAACCGTCCGAATGACGGAAGAGAGACTATTTCAGATCCAACTTGTTTGTTGGGGTGACAAAGCGTGAAATCAGTGACTCAAAACGACGTTATGAATCACATCTGCGGGCCTTCTCGAACTTGCTCATGCTCTGGGTTGCTTTGTCTCGATAGTTTTGGCGGTGTGCAGAAGCTTTCTTCTGCTTTCGGAACATTTCCGGTATATTTTGGCTCAGAGAACTGTGCTCCGTGGAAGGATAACCGTCCACTATTCGAAAGTGACTTGTATTCGACGATTTGACGGGTTTCGAGAATGCAAAAGCTTTACGAAAGTAGGGTTGAAAAAACAGAGAAAAAAGGAAACAAATTTACCTCTTTACCCTTGAGGGAACCTCCTAAAACTAGTAGTGGTTATGGGGGATTGCAAAATTTCTGGAAAAGTGGGAACGCGTCGGTTGCTCCGCGGCCCTGTCCCATGCCAACTTTATTGATACGCGCCATATGCGGAAACTTTTGGCTCCACTTTCATCGCAACCCAGCCTTCTCCCAGAGATCCTTCAGCATATGTAGTATTAGGGTGTTTAAGAAATTTTGGGAAAACTCGGATTTTTTAAGCTCATTCAACATTTACAAACAATAACTTTACGCAGTATGTAGATAATACCCTCTACCATGCCATTAACACCTTATAATCTTTCTCCGTCAGTCAGGCAGTCGACAGATCCCCGTTCAAGAAAAATCAGATGTCTGGGTCTTTTTTAACTCCGTCAACCCCTTCCTTGAAAGTCTCAGAATTTCTGAGACAGCTAAATAGAGCAGGCCCGTAGCTCATTTACTCCTTCGTTTGATTGTGAATGTTTCAAGGTTGGCTTCCGCGCTCGCTACGAATTCGTAGATGAGAAGGAGTGGTCAGATAGACCAAATGCCAGAGGTTCGTTAAACTAGCTACTCAGAACGACTGGAAGCCAATGCATGTGCTGCAATTTTTAGACTGCGATGAATTTCTCGAAGGCTATGGCGGAGAGATCAAATTGGATGGCAATCAACAATTAATCAACACATATGTGGATTGTATCTGGATCATCGGACGCTTTCCACACATGGCTCGGACCTTTGATAGGATATATTTGAAGGTTGGCGTTCTAACTATGATAACGTTAGTGTCATCGCGATCCGTCGCTCGATTCCCGCGAATCATGCGACTCTCGGCTATTTAATGAGGAAGCGCATGATTGCTTATTTTGGGCAAACAGTTTCGATGCCCTTGGCTGCCGCCACATTTTTCGACACACCATAATATTGGCTATTTCTACCCTACTTCGCTTTTTTTTGGCCAATGCACTATTTTAAATTTAACTGTGCGTTCAAATGTGTGAAGTGGGGATGAGAAGATTTGAGGTGTAACGAATTTTCCTCATTTTACATCTTTCTCATCCTCAGCTAGAGAGTTAGCTAGGCGGCGAGCTGGAGCCTTGCCTTGGAATGGAGTTTCAAAAGTAGAATGACTTTTGGGCTGCGTGTGATATACACTTGTTAGTTGCTCCATGATAACCTATATGTGAGGGCTACTGGAGTAATTGTTTTTCAGATTGAGGAGTTCCACATGAAGGGAGTCGGACTAAGGTTGGAGATTCGAGAAGGTGCCTCGTCTACGTCCGATCGCTTGCTGCTTCTGTTCGATTCACAAACACGGGATCAGGTCCAACATAAACAGCCTCGGTAAGTTCAGTGACTGACGGCATATCTCTTGAGCAGATAGAAAAAAGCATGTAAAATTTTAGGCACGGTTTCGCAACGACCTCTTCGTCACCTGCCTTCTATATACGACTTCGGGGATATCTCATGGGGAGGTTTGTGCTTCTAACTTTCCCATCCTTTTCCTGGAAGTTTTTATGCAGGCGCCAAAATACGAGCATCTTGAGGATGAGAAAGCACTCTTTCTCCAACAGTAATTTACACATACCTTATGTACCATTTCCGGACTCAAAGGCTGAGTCCCTGATCAAACTGATGCATTATTGCGCTTGCAAGTGACAGTGGAGATGTGAAGTGTAACGCCAGCAACGGAAAAACGGAAGAAACCGTCGAGGAAGCTGAAAATAAAACCCTCTCTCCAGTAGCAGCAAAGCGATAGCACTGATTTGTGGGCGGGCTCAATGGTGTTGGGCGGGCCAATGCTGCATCCTAGGGCTTAGCGCCTCGGCCTTGTCAAATCATCCCGAAAGTTGTGTACGTGCTTTCCGCTTGCGTACCGCTGCACTTTCTTGGGGAAAGCTTAATTTCGACCCGAAATCCCGGACCTTGCCTTTAAAAGCAGTAGTTCTGTAGGCAACACTTCTATAACTATACATGCTCTCATTGATAAGCAAGCCTTCATTTCCTGCTGAAACAGATCTCATACGTCACACTCACCCGCTACAATGATAAGTGGTCCACGGGAAATTCTGCCCATGCCTGATGTGATTGCTCTTCCGCAGAAAATGTTCTCCAAAACCAGCTTCGCTGTTGTACATTAGCTGTTTGTTACAGTAGCGGTTTGGAAATCGTCTACACTCAGTTCTATCGTTGGGCTACTGCTCTCTGCCCAGGGATTGGAGAATTTCACTGTGACAACGCACGCTGCATTAAGGTTCGTGCAATTACTAGCCGTAATTACGTGTTACTTTCTATACTAGTGGCTAGAGGAAAGCTTTCTCGCAACATTTGCGAGTTGGCTCATAATTTCGGACTCAGTGATGATGAGTGGAACCAATGGACAACTCATTTGAAAGAGTCAATTGCCTCGGGAGGGTCGCGAATCAAAGGCGGCTGTATGCTAGATTCTTCGAATGCTTTAGAATCAGAAGTAAATTGCATGCGCTAATTCACATGGAAGCATGAAAAGGAGAAAGGAGAGATGGACGGACATGTGGAGAAAAAGTATATGAAAAGTCGTGGGAATTTCAGCACGAAAAGTAGCGAAGCCCGATTTCCTCTACGGATGGCCTGAGCAGACTTCAAAAGAGCAGGGCGCTGGAGATAGCGATAATGCGCAAGTGCGGGAGCAGTGGTTTAGGAGCAAGGTTCGGAGAGGGAGGAGCGCGAGATAAGCAGATTGAGCCTAGCGGATCCCGCAGACAAGGATATCGAAGCCGGTGGGCGGCGAGACCATGTTAAAGATTTGGACTGGAGTCTGTGTAGGAAAGTCCCTGGCTCCTGACGTCAAAGTTGACACGTTTGATGTAGAGGAAGTTTGGCGGACTCTGGCCCACGCTGGGCGGTACGCTAGCGACTCGTTCTAGCACGCTATGGCGTTCTGTGAAAGTGAGGTCCGTAGCGCCGAACCTTGCCTCCTAACCCAAGCCAGCCAATAAGTAGGACCCTAAGTGGATTGGCATTAACTAACGTCGTATCGCTTGGTACCTTCCAGGCAGTGCATCAAACTCGTTGGTTTAATTGGTCACAATATTGGGGAATTCAATGCGTCATTTGCATGAAGATTGCTATTCAGGCAACACTTCGTTGCGACGGAATCAATCACTGTGGTGACGGCAGCGACGAACATTGCCAACGTCCCATTTCCGACTTCAAACAGCCGTAAGTGTTGCTTGGTATGATGTGCAGTTTTAGTAATTCTGGTTTCCGTAAAAGGATAATAGTAACTCTTCTCGATTCCCCCCCCCCCTTTGCTAACTAATTTCTACAATTCCGCCTTGAATTACATTAACCTGCCCCGGTCAAGAAAGCCTTCTTTAGAAGGTAGCCACGAGTGGAGAAACATCGGCTTGAACGATCCTATCAGGTAGGCTCCCAAACTCGAAAAACTTAGCGAATCTCTTTCAGAAAATATTTATTACTTCCCGACCGAAACGGCTTCAGACTTTGCAAATTCGTGGAATCGCTAGCAAAGGTAAGGTTCGACCGATGCGCCAGCGATTCGACAATGTTTGAAAGTGACGGGTCCCTCTATCCGAGAGTCCGCTAACTTGCAAAGTGTGACACCGGCCTAATACTTACTTCCTTTTATAAATACTGAATGAATACCCCATCCAAAAAATCAATAACATTCCCTGCAGAGTTGTCAATAACACATGTTTATCCATTAGTAGACTTTCATAATCCGTGATCTAACGTCCTACTATGCCACACATGTAGCTGTTCAGTGATGCTGATGTGTCCGGATTGATAGCGCTGGTGATTGGTGTGTGCGGTCTGATTCTACTGATAATCTCAACAACAGCTGTCATGGGTCGCTTCTATCGTCGACGACTTGCCGCACAACTAAGCGGCACCGATCTGTCTGGACGTACGTTTATCATACATTTGCAAGATTCACAAGCATTTCATAATTCGAAGAAATCGTCCCCGGGAATTCCTGCATTCCTTACCAACTACTAGAAAGAAGCCGAGCATTTATTAATTCGGACCGGAAATCTCCGCTGGGAAAGCTTGATTCCCCATTACCAACATATGATGGATCAGCTCGTGACATTGTACAGGTGACATACATACAGCAACGTTCACGCCACGAAGATGCAGCGTGAAAAGAAAAAAACTCACGAAACCCGCTCTATCGAATTACATCCCCGACGTAAGACGGAACGGCCGAGGGTAGCAGTTTGCGCGGAGACAAGGGAACGCAGTGGAAAGAAGTGTGGCGCCTCGGGGCCGGCTTACATACTCGAGCGACGATTCAAGGTATTATGGGGTTGAGAGCGCTGGGATTCAAACACTTAACAGTTTGGTTTCTCAAGATTAGTTTACAAGGCAACACATTTCTTATTTTTTTCTCCTTTGTAATCCGTGAACGGTGCAGGCCCGAGGCTTAGTAAGGTTTAGATGCGGCCCATGCGGGTTTTTTTCCGTGGACGGGTGCCAGTGCCGCCCGGCTTCTCCGAGTCTTGTAAGGACTATACGGCGAGCAGTGACGAAATCAAGCTTTACTTTCAGCACACCCTATCCTACGCGATCCACGGCGCCCTCATTACAGACATGTGGATGTGAGCGGGGTTTTAGTAGTTTCGGAGAATTCAAATATCTGCATCGAGGTTCTCACCTTCTTATGCAGACGCCTCTCAGATCCACCTCCGTAAGTCATGCTCTTAGCTGCGAGAATTAGTGAAACTTCGTCGCTGGGCTTACTATGGTAGGTTTTTCCACTGGTTACCGCTCATCCCGCATACGTCAGCGTGTCTAAATTCGAGCCTACCTCGCGCGCGGCAGCGCGTGGAGCGCGCGACCACGGCGAGCCCGATCGAGCTTTCTCTCAGGTCCATGGATCGCTTTTTCAGATCTGCTTTTTGTATTAATTGAGTTTTCCGCTACCTCTTAACATTTTCCATTAAGAGCGGCGCGGCAAGGTAGTGCGAATCATTGTCTTTTAACGCCTAATTCTTTTTCAAGGAGGCGGATGGCCCTCACTATCCCACACAGGTTGTGTTCGCCAGATTCCAGTCGACGACGTTTATGATCGCATCCCCGTGTGTGGGACGATGCAACGGTGCGACAGTCAGGATGTGAATCCGAGAGGCGTCCTTGCCGCGAGTACACTGAAGCGGAAGTGCATGAACAACCCAACACTTTGGTTATGTTCACCACAAAAAGTCAACAAAGAAAGCGACCGATGGTCATGGGTATAGCACAGACACACTCAGATCACGGTTTATATGGTGTTCCAGGTAGGGTACTCATCTCGGCGCGAGGCAAACGTGCGAGGCTCGAAACGTCTAATCCATGGCTTTGCCGAGCAGCACCTAGTATACCTCTCCCACACCGCTTTGATCTTCTATCGGCACGCTTGAGGCGGGACAACCACCCCGTGTCCAGGTAACCCAGTCTTTCGAATGACCCACTAAGTCGGTTTCGTGGTCCTTAGTCTTTACCAGCTCACGTTATGGGTTGGTTACTTGAGAGCAGCTTCACTCGTGCAATCCTGAGGCCGATGTCTTTTCCCTTTAAGAGTATCTTCAATAGGGATTCAAAATGTACAGCCGGCACACCAGTGCCCGCCCCCCACTGTAGTCCGATCCTTTCTTTAGTTAGAATTTTGATCGGATTTGATTTCCTCTACATCTGTGATGCAATTACATGCTGTTGACTCTCTGCTATGTCTTCTTTGGCACCGGGGGGCTTGTCAATTTACTTTTTCATGATTGTATTTGCTTCTGCGCAGTTGTTTTTGCTTTTCTATGTAAATATGAATAAATTGTTGTTTTGCTAAAGACAAAACCTCAGAATACCATCCTTCTTTACTTCAGTGAAGCCTGTAGACATTTTGAAGCTACAAACTGCCCACTGACAGTGATGTAAATGTTTTTGACACACTCGAACTATGCACATAGAAGCGCCACCAGAGAACTATGATCGGAGGCCGGCCCGCGCAAGGGAGGGACCAGAGATGCAACGGAAACGAGTTACGAAGCGCTTGTGCTGCCTGTAGGATGCTTGGAGTACATGGTACATTATCTAATTTATTGGGGACGACCAAAACGTACAGTAACGCGCTCATGATGACCCGTCCGCCGATCGCCCTTCGAAAGCGATATACAAGAGTCTTGGATCTGGCAGGGTCGGTCCTATCGTTGTTACTTTTTCAAAAATTTTTACGACCCCCTCCCCCAAGGTGGACTTGGTACGACCCCCTTTTCGACCTCGACCACCATATTCCTCTCTATAGTATTTAATTCTGGTACCACTCAACCCACCAAACTCCGCCCACTTTTTCCTCCAAAATGCCGTCGAGCGGGGGAGGGGTTATATACGCACGTAGGCGAAATTTTATCCCATTAGCGAGATACGACCCCCCCTCCTATAAAATCAACAGGGTTACGCCCTCCCCCCGTTGTTACTAGTAACAACGTAGGGTTGACCCTGGTCTAGTGAACCATGGACTCTTCCTGACGCGCCCAGCCGTCGCTCAACATTGAGCAAAATTGTGCCCACAAGAGCGGTTTCTGGATCTCACCAATTTTCGACTTGATCAATGAATCAGGCTGTAGTTTCAAGCTTTTGCTTCATACCAGTTTCGTCCCCCGACAATAGGCCGGGACCTTCATTACCTGCGTAAGAATAAACATTGAATGGATGAAACCTCACTCAATACTTGTATCGGCACCATGATCGTGATGGCCCTAAGCTGGTGGGACTGCAAAGGCGCAATGCTACATGGTTGCTTATATTATGTGGGGAATGAAGCACGGGGCGAGAGAACCTTCTGGAAACCTGAGCGACGGGCGGGCCTTGTAGTGCGGTTCTGGTGGGTCAAATCCCCTATGTGAGTGGATGAACTTCTGATTGCTCCGCGAGCGGAATCATCCTTGCGGAAACAGATGGCCGCTAAGTTACCCTTAAGAGGCGGTGTCTCTGTATGGACCACGAAGGCTCCTGCACCACCTCGTCGGCGTCGTGGTTGAGTGGTTCGTCCCGACCATGACAGTTGGATTGGGCAGTCAGTGCTGCAGCTTCACGGCGCCTTTAAAGCGTCAAATGTTGTTGCTACTGTTTTCATAGTTCGCAACAGAACAAATCTTCTGCTGCTGTGGAAAGTTGTTTACTTCTTGATCTTGGGCTTTATCACACCTTTATCCTGGAATAGGTTATGTTTATTATTGACTGCAGTAGTTGGAGGGTGGTTGCACCTCATTCAGGTTCTCCTCGTTCATGTTGAGACGGTGGGTTCAATCACAACTACTGTGGGTTTATTACAAAACTCCATCTGCGTGTTGATGTTTCAAACAGGATGGCCATAAACAATGTGCCTTCCTGTGGTATATTTGATCTCTGGTATGCGGGGGGAGGGGGGAGGAGTAGGATTTGAGCCGCAGAGAGGACAAGGCTCTGAGCGAAAGCGCGTAGATAGAGTTCTCCGTAGCTTTTTACCCTTCTCGAGCCTTAGATCCTAAGTCACCTTTTCGGCCCTGGTGTGGATGGTTCTTCCCACCTCCCAGAGCATGAGCACGCCGCGCAAGCGAAAGTAGGTACACACGGCGGTTACCGCCCCGCCAAAACTGGGCCATTGCAATTTGAAGTGTGGTAATTTGCTAGGACTAGGCTAAAACAGATGCAGAGCTGGGAACTACACAGACAGAACAAAAAAGCGTTGTATCGATCGTCTAGATAGGGGGTCCCAACTTGGCAAATTGCCATGTTTCAAACTGCACAAACGCCGACGACGTCGCGCGCGCGGTGGTGACGGTTTTGACGCGGCGGTCGCGGGGGCTCCTCACCGTCTCCCTCAAATATCGTCCATGACTTCATTTTCAAACTTCGGAGGCAAAGTATGCGAGTTCTCATTGCTTTTTCGTCGCGACCGTTCCGTTGATGCGAATCCACTTCAAAATAGCCCAGTGCTTCACACACGGGCAGGTCAGTCTACAGTGCTTCTGTGCTTGCCTTGAACGGGACGCAGACCAAGAGGTTGTGGGAGCCGGATGTTCTGCGTCTTCGATTAACCGTTCCATTTCTTCCTATCCAAATCATCGCTGCTCGTTTCCTTCTTCAGCTCTGGAGCAAATGGCTCACCATTTCGATTACCCAACCGGGTACACGCAGCTGGAACTCGGTGATGTTTGTCCTGTAGTGTGAGCGTCGAGGACATTCTCTTATGAATACTTTTGTCAATAGGTTCGGCTGCAGACCGATTTCTCCATAAGGCAGTCGGAATACCATTTGAAACCAGCACTCGCTCCGTCTTTTCAACGTTAAATGTTGAAAAGTACGATATTGACGGCAACGCAGCGTAATGAAGTGGCTGTATGTTTAATTTAAACGACCGGATGTCAGACTTTGCGAATCGAGCGATTCGCTAGCGTCCGCGGTCGCGTCGCGGCCAGCGAATCGCATGATTGGCTAGGTACCGCAACGCGGCCGCGACGCTAGCGAATCGCTCGATCGCAAAGTCTGACATCGGACAATGACGCCTGTACCCTCTCTGAATCTTACCAAACCCGCACTCGATGAGGCGGATGTGCCGCCTTAGGTTAGCTGAGCGGAGACGGGACGAACCTGTAGAGAGAGAGTAATAACTACGATCAGCTTGATTCTCTCCTATCTTTCAGAAGAGTCCTACAAACTGACGCTTCCACCGTGAGCTGACACATTGTGCAGGGTGGGCTTCAGCCAGGGACCGTATTGCACCCTAACTAATAACCCCACGTGACTCAAAGCTGGCGCCAACTGTCGCTCGATGTAGCCAATTGTGTGCAGGCAGTTCTTCTCACCAAATTTTCGGCTTTATCATTGCGATCTGGCTGCAGTTCCAAGCTTGCGCTTCCTACCAGTTTTGCCCTCCAACAATAGCCGGCGACGCGCAATGTGGCCCGACGGGGCCAGTCGCCGTTCGCGATCTCTACGTTTTTCTGTGTAGGGTTTCCTTTTCGCTGAATCGGGACCAAGCCTCCGGCAGGGGAGGAGGAACTCTGGGATCATAGCAATTTTCATCCCCCCAAAGTTCCTGCCCACTTCCAGGTTAGACTACAGGGAGCGGAGGGCAGTTATGCTTTACGCGCGATGGTCTAGCCCCCCTCGAGGCACATTGCGCCGCCGGGGCTATTGTTACCTGTCGTAAGAATAAACATTAAATGGATGAAACCTCACTCATCTTCCCCTACGCTCCAACTGCTATGCAGCACCTTGTGTGATGGCCTAGAGTGTACCGACAATAAGGCGCAGTTGCTATCATGTGTGCTGTTATATTGCAGGACTAAAGCCGGGCTAAGCGAACCCCAGAAAGCTGAGCCGACGGCGGGTCTTGTACCGCGGGTTGTTGTTTCCAAATCCCCTTATGGGAGTTAGGAACTCTGATGCTTCGGAAGCGGAAACCATTCTTGCGGGAAACAGCACGGTCCCCGGGAAGGAACCGTAGGATGGCGTGTGTCCGAATGGACCACGAGGGCTCCGTATTACCTTGCTGCGTCGTGTTGGAGGGTTCGAGAGCAGTCGCCCCCGAACGATGACAATTGAGTTGCAGTCATTGCGGAGCTTAAACGGTGTCTTTTGAGGTCAAAATAAGCTTGCTACTGATTTCGTGGTTCGCAACAGAATCAAGCTCTCGCTGCTATGTGAAGTTGTTTACTTCTTGCTCTTGGGCTTTATCACACCTTTATCCCGAAATAGGTTATGTTTATTATTGACTGCAGTAGTTGGAGGGTGGTTGCACCTCATTCAGGTTCTCCTCGTTCATGTTGAGACGGTGGGTCCAATTACGCTAACTTGTCATTACATTTACGCATCTACGCTGTGGTGTGTCTCGAAACAGCATGCCATAAACCATGCTTCTTGCGCTATATTTGATCTCTGCGTTCATGTCGGTGGGGGAAGGGGGCAAGGGTATGGACATTTTTTCAAAAAAGTAAAAGAAAAGTGAGTCACTCTACAGCAGATTGGATTGAGCGCAGGGAGGAGAAGGCTCTGAGGAAGCTGTCAGCAGATAGAGTTCTACGTAGCGTTTCTACCCTCTCTCGAGTTTAGTCCTAAAGTCACCTCCCATCGGCCCTATTTTGGATGTCCTCCCCCAGGGTGAATAACGGTCGAGGAAATCCTCGACCATAGCTCTCTACCATGCGAGAGTAGTGCCGAGAGTGAACATCCGCGCGGAGAGCACAGACGGCACGGCATGGCGAGTGTGAATGTCCGCGCGAGAGATCGTCTCTGATCGGGCAGAGAATCCTCGACGTGCCGTTGAGGAATCCTCAAGCGATATTCACCCTGCACCCGCACCTCCAGACGCGGCCGAGCAAGCGAAAGTAGGTCACCGCACGCGGCGGCTAGCCCCGCCAAAACTATGGCCTTGCAGTTTGAAGTGTGGCAATTTGCTAGGACTAGGCTAAAACAGATGCAGAGCTGGGAACTACACAGACAGAACAAAAAAGCGTTGTATCGATCGTCTAGATAGGGGGTCCCAACTTGGCAAATTGCCATGTTTCAAACTGCACAAACGCCGACGACGTCGCGCGCGGTGTACCCAGTTTTTGACGCGGCGGGTCGCGGCGCTCACGGCTCGCCTCAAATATCTCCATACACCATGTTTCAACTCGGAGGCAAAGAGTGTTCTCATGCCTTTTTCGTCGCGACCGTTCCGTTAATGCGAATCCACCTCAAAATAGCCCAGTGCTTCACACACGGGCAGGTCAAACACGTGCTTCTGCTTCTTCCCCTGACGGACCGCAGAGCTGAGGAGGTGTGCATGGAGCTGGATGTTCTGCGTCTTCTCCACTACTCGCTCGATTTCTTGTATCCCAACCACGCCGCTCGTTTCCTCCTTCAGCTCATGCGACAAATCGACTCACTTGGACTTACCGAACCTGGGTACACGCAGCTGGAACTCAGTGATGGTTGGCCTGTTGAGTGTGAGCGTCGAGGACATTCTCTTATGGATACCTTTGTCAATAGGTTCGGCTGCAGACCGATTTCTCCATAAGACAGTCGGAATACCATTTGAAACCAGCACTCGCTCCGTCTTTTCAACGATAAACGTTAAAAGTACGATAGGAATAAATCTAATAAAAGGCAAGTATTTGACAGCAAAGCAGCGTAATGCAGTGTGGTAATTATTAAACCGACCGCCAACAAAGAATGAGTAGCTCGCAAGCCTCGCGACCTTATGGAGCGTTCATAGTTGGCGATCGTACGTGCGATTAGGCGATGACGCAAAAAGAAAAGTACGTATCTATCAGGTGATCAGGCGAGTAGGCGCTTAGGCGAGTAGTCGATCAGGCGAGAAGGCGAGTAGGCGATAAGAGAATGATTTGATTTTTGTATTGATTTGCTTTGATTTTTGTATTGATTTGTAGCTCCCCCTACTGAGCGATCACCTAATCGTCTATCGCCCACTCGCCTACTCGCCTACAACGCCCTATGGGCGGAGCAACCAATCAATACGTCTTCCCCGCCTATCGCCTACTCGCCTAATCTATACGTATACTTTTCATTTTGGACTAATCGCCTAATCGCCTAATCGCCTAATCGCACGTACGATCGCCAACTCTGAACGCTCCATAATTGTTTCGCGATGGCATATTTGTCTTTAAATGGCCACTCTTTAAACATACACGCTAATTCTGCACGGTGCTGCAGTACAGCTGTAGGGCAGGAAAGTGAGAAGAGACAATGAGGAGGAAGAAAACAGACCTCCAGCTAACCTGTCAGTGAAAGCAGAGGTACTATCTCCAATGTGATTTCGGCGCTCTTGTCCTTAGGGGGGAGGGGCATTCAAAAGAGGGCATCCAAAAATCGCTGATTAGTGGCTTGAGAACTAAGCCCAGGAGAGGGAAGAAAACTGGGCTTAGGGCTTAGTCCTCCACCCCCCCCCCCCCAGGGAGAACATCGGTTGCTCAGATCCTCTCCCGGGATATCTTCCCCTTCTTAAGACTTCGTTACTTTCAAGCTCTGTAAGTGGCTCACTCACTCCAATGTCCCCCTCACGACATGAGGGCCGGGAACTGCTTTGACTTTATACTGTGTCCCAGGATTCTTCTTTCTCGGGGCATACTACCGTCCTCACCTGAAGCGTGCAAATTGGTGTGAAAAGCCTGGACTGACTCAGGAGCTGTTTTTTAAACGCCATGAATAAGCCAAAATAAGCCCGACAACTTTAGGCAAGTAAATTTATCACATCAATGGACCCGCTGAAGGATTTGATAGTAAATTGTTGTCGTAAAAATAGAGAAAGAGAGAAAGTGAAGGTGAGGAGAACATCTAGCGACAGTCGAAACGCTGCTGGAAAGAGATCAAAAGAAGATGCCAACATGCCAGCAAGAGGGTCAAAAGAATCAGAAGAAAGAAGAATAAAAGGAAAATTAAGAAATCTCAAGGACGACAAGAAGCCAAAACAAGGTTCAAAAGAGTCAAAAAGTGGAAGTAAGAAACGGCCAGGGTCTAAGGAGAAGCCCAAACCTAAAGAAGACAAATCAAAAGAGGAAAGTGTGGAAGAAGTTCTTGCTAGGAGCTCGGAGGAGCATCCGGTGAGACCTTTTCACCTCATTTTGAGCGCACACTGCTGTAGTGGATTTTGTGTTAGGCTTGAAGAACGGTGCATGAAACAGTTTTTAGCCAACTTTGAGGGTACCTTTTCAGACCGGTCCCAATTAGTCGGGACTGAATAATATGTAGCTCACTCTTAATTATTTCAGAGAAGAAAGGGAGAGAAAAAGAAAAACAGCAAAAGTGGCGAAGTGGTGGTTGCACCCGCCGCCGGAGTTCAGGCAGAAGCTGCGGATCCGATCCGAAATTCCCAGAGAAATCGTAAGGGCAAAATAAAGAGCTTAAAGAAACCTGTGGAGATTATGCAGGCCATCCAGGAGAGGAGCGCCAAGAAACCTGTGGAGGCCGTGCAGGTCCAGGAGAAGAGCGGTGAGAGAGACAGGGAAGACTCATTTGTTGACTACTGGTTGCAGCCAGATGGAGCCGCAAAGAAAGCCGCAACAGGTGGCGCAGAGCAACCTAAGCCTACAGTACCTGAAACTAAGCCAGAAGCGCAAGCACCCGCAGGGATTGACTTATCAGTGATAAATGAACCGGCCAAACCAGAAATTCCTGCAAAGCCGCAAGAGTAGCTCAGCAAAGAAAAAGGGCTCTGTCATTGCAAATAAAGAACCTGGTGCAATAGTATCTACCCCAAAGCTAGCTGCTACACAATCCGGAAAATCACGGCAGAAGTCCGCTAGATTACCTCCGATGACGAAAGAGATTCGAACGGTGAGCGCTGCATTTACTTGCATCTTCACTTGGTGCTTGAATTTTTATTACCAGTAAGGCCGATGTCAGACTTTGCGAATCGCGATTCGCTAGCGTCTGCGGTCGCGTCGCGGCCAGTGAATCACTCAATTGGCTGGTACCGCAACGCGACCGCGGACGCTAGCAAATCGTTGCGATTCGCAAAGTCTGACATCGGCCTGACATTGCCGGAAACCGATATCAGCTCTCAGAATCTACAAGATATTCCATATACAAGGAGACTGATTGTACTATAAACCAACAACTAGTAAATCTTCCCTGCGATACCTAAAGGCCAACTAGAGTTTTAACTCACCCCGTTGCATATTTCGCCACCATGGAAGCTTGACCTCCCCTTTCGCTCGTCTGTGCCGGTTCTTCCCAGTTTTCGGACGGTTTCTGAACCATTTTGCAAACTGTGGATTTTAGCTCCGCCCACTTTGGCCCAACCCATTGAGCCCAAGGATTCCCTTCATATACCAACCTCTCCGCTTCTCTCCCAGTCTCCATGCATTCTCGGAACTGACGATGAGTAATCGCTAATAACGCAATCCATACTGTAGGCGCACATCATTCTGCTACCTATATTAGTCTAATCTTCACCTCAACTTAAAATGGAGTCATGAAGCAACCCATCTCAAGACTTTAGCACAGAGGTGTCATGGGATTGGGGATGGAGAAAGAACACGCACATCAGTAACGGCCTAAAAACCCGAAAAACGTGTTAGAACATTGTCCAACCAATCTATCGTCAAAATCATGTCCTTACATAATTTGTCACCAAAAACCCAAAGGATTTGAGGATGAGCCGCGCCGAGAAAATCTTCCCATTACCTGTGCTGTTGCATTGGAACCATGTCCACGTCAAACAACCAACACAGCTCAACCACACGTGCATGATCCGCGGCATTCCCTGAGTAGGAATATTCCATGCCCATAAAATGTGTAGAGAATCTAATTTGTCGAGTGGGATACGAAGTGGCCCACGAAGATAATGCAGAGATCGTGCCGTTTGTTCGCGCTTGAAAACCAGCGGCAAATGGCGCTAGGTCTTAAAAAAGCGAACCTTATGACAACTTAACTTTTTAACATACGGACGAGTTAACGTCCCGCGCACTACCCCATGAAAACTTTCCAACGTGGACCTACGGCGAACGGCTAATTTAAATAGTCAACGCGGGTTAACTGAACTCGTATAGCAGGCAATTTACAACTCGTCCGGCCCCCGCCCCTTCCTCATTCCGAGGGAATCCTGCTCGTGCTATTGGTGGTTTCTTTTGCTTCTTTTTTTCGTCTTTAGTTAACTTGGCATTCACCACTCAATTACCTACTGCTGCGACCCCACAAAGTTGTAAGGGTGTTGCTTTAAACATTGTCCTATAGGCGATCTGTTCTCATTGCAGTCAGCTCTTCACCGCAGAAAATCGCGGAGATAATCGGCCAAACACCGACTCCACGTCTCACAGCTGGCAGTCAGCAAACAAAAACACACCATCCGCAACCAACCACCACTACAAAGGCCGAAACCACAGCAACAACTACAGCAACCTATTAAACAGCAGCCACCGGGAGCCCACAAGCAGCAACCACCTCCTCGGGACAACAGCAACCAAGGTAGTTTATATTTTTTTATTTTTACCGTTTATTTATTGCCACGATACCCGACATCAATATAAGCAGGAGTAATGCAAAAAAATAGCGAATATCTATTTGTATTTGTTACAATTAAGTTGCTCATGAATACTTTCGTGGACACAGTGAGCCTCCTTTACATGAAAGAAAGAAGAGCACAACAACTTTCGCAGCTGCTCTTTTTGAAGAGTTGACTGACCGCCTCCACCTCGAAATATGGAGATCTCACGACTTGATGTCAAGTGTATAAAAACGTCCCTCACGGTTACAAATCATTCCGTGCCTGATTACTCGCGAAAAAGACGGACAAATTGGTACACAGTGTGGCAACGAACCTTCGCTGACCTGTTTAAAGGCAAAGTTCGGGCTCAGACCCACCTAAGAAGCCCTTACCATGGCTAGAAGTGCTGGTACGCAAGTGCAAAGGTAGCGCCACCTTTCTACATCGAAACGCGTCACTAGGACCCTAGGCGCCATGGACTTCTAACAGACTCCACCAAACTTAACATGGTCCGCCCACCGTTCGATATCTTGTCTGCGTCGCCACGTTGATCTGCTATGCTCTCTCTCTCGGACTTCTCTACCGCTCTCCGCGCTCACATTATCTCTCATCTCCCTGCCTGTCTTTTGAACTTCTCCACAGCATAGAGCAAAATGCTCGTATTTCCTGTGTATTTCAGGATTTTCTTTCCTTTTTTCTCCACTGGCGGTCCACCTCCCATCCCCTACTTTCACATTTGAGTGGAATCACCCCATCAATTCAATCCTGATTCTTGCCTTTAAGGCTATCTTCCATTTATTTCTACTAATTTCGAACTTTCGTTTATCTGGACTTTTCTGCTCGCCTTAGCAATTGGTTGTAGTGCTTCAGAAAGAACAGATTAAAAATTGGTATCACGCCTGTGGCAGAAATATCCTGGGGCCCGTTCATTAAAGCAGTTTCCGGCGCTCACATCTTTAGGGGGGCCGTCTCTAGCGGGAGGACAAAACGGTAAACATGAGAGAGCACCAGCCACCTTCGACTCCTCGCCACCTTTTTATCAGTTCCAGTCAGAAGATGAAGCG